GTAGTAGTAGTAGTAGTAGTAGTAGTAGTAGTAGTAGTAGTAGTAGTAGTAGTAGTAGTAGTAGTAGTAGTAGTAGTAGTAGTAGTAGTAGTAGTAAATTGAATTTATAGGCTATAGCTCATTATTACAATAAGAAAGTGCTCAATAGGCTTACACTTGACGAAAATACAAAGATCATAGTATCCACCACCCAGTTTCAAACATGATCGTAACGCTCCATCTCTCACTCTGTGTGTCTGTATGTGTGCAGAACTTAGAAGAATTTTCTCAGTCTCTTTCAACTCATCTGCGGTTTGAGGAACAATTAAGATATTAAGACGACAGAACACCCTGAAGTATTCTAATTAAGGACAGGTGAAAATCCTACACAAAGCCATGAACCTGGACCTCACAAGATACACCATGTGCATACACATGCCTAAGAAGCGGTGGTGAGTGATGTAGTCGCACACTGATACATAGCCTACTACAAAATGACGCCCATGGAGATGTCATACACTTTCCATCTGCTCAACCGACATGATGTATTCAAAAGGACACCATCAGAATCGGGCATGTGGCACATTAGCAGGAAGTACGCTGTGTACTATTATTACCCCCCCCCCCCCCCCCACACACACACACACACACACACACACACATATTTCCCCTACACACCCAGACATGTAACGCATAAGCCGAGGTTGCCTGATCTGCTGGCAAGCAGCCGACTATGAAAAATAGTCACGCAGGTGAGTTCAATGGCCACCATTCTGAGTGGGACCAGAGATAGCCAACGAGGCCTACAACAGCACAGACCGAAAACTCAAAGTGCAGTTTGAAAACTCAAAGTGCAGTTTGAAAACTGCAACCTATCCGTGTTGCCAGATGCCCTTCTACTCCTACCTATTTCACAGAGCCCAATTGACTTTCAGCCAGCCTGATCTCAACATAATCTACCCATCCAACATTGAACACTTATCTGTCTCATCGTAGGTATTGGTGACATAAGAAATGATCACAGGCCAATCATTACCTATATATATA